AAGATTTTCCCGATCTCATATAATTTTGAGATTTGATATTTATTGGTTATAAGTTATTAAATTTTAGGGTTTTCTATGTTTTTTAATTTTCGAAGGAGTTTTTCAGAATATTTATAACTTTGAGGTTATTTTTTACAAATTTTAGTTTTTTAGTGTCCGATAGTAATTCATTGAATTCATCTTTATGTTCGTAAGTTTTAAAATTTCATAGTGCTTTGTTATTATTTGAACTTTTGAGGGTGTTTTTATAGTTTTTAAAATATTGAGGGTTTCATGTTTGTTGTTTTAAGTTTTGAAATGTCTGGATGTTTTGTGTAATTTTATACTTTTAATTGAGGGTTTCATGTTTGTTGTTTTAAGTTTTGAAATGTCTGGATGTTTTGTGTAATTTTATACTTTTAATGGTGTTTTGTGCAATTTTTGAAAATTTTTGGGGTTTTTTGCAATCTTCATATATTATAGCTTATTAATCTTTAAAGTATTGACCTGTAAGTAGTTCATATAGGATTAGGATAGGATATAATTATGATTATAATAAATTAAAATTTAAATAAAATATTCAAATAATCAAGGGTAATATTGACCATAGAAAGATTTTCCTGAACTCGTACTTTTAAAGGGAGTATGATTTAAATTATTGACCTGTAAGTAGTTCACATAGGATTAGGATAAGATATAATTATGATTATAATAAATTAAAATTTAAATAAAATATCAAATAGTCAATGATAATATTGACATAGAAAGATTTTTTTCGAATTCGTACTTTTAAAAGGAGTATATACATATAAGGGTTTTATGTAAGCATGATCTACATGAACCCTAAGATCGTGAACTATATGATTATCATAGATAGGATATTAATCTTGTATAAGTAAACAGTACCTCCAGACATCGTGATACAGAGAGCTTTAGATCCTGTTGTCTGATGCTAGTGTTGTTGCTGTTTGGTGATAAGATCCAATGGTGTAGAGGCTAGGTGATTGATTCGATTTCTCTCTCCTTGCCTATTAACCCTAATGTGTCAAGTACGTAAGTCAGCATTTATGATGAGCAAAGGCTTTTATTTATAGGTGGAGAGAGGACCGAATTTCCATTAGGGGTTTCTAATACTTAATCTCGACCGTCCATCAAGGTAGAGATAGACTTGGAATAGATCTCTTTTAACTAACCATATTTAGTTATTGATAGCATATTTCCTATGAAAACGGATTCCTATAATGATCATATTTAGGGGAAGGAAAGAAACGTGTGGCCCATGTAATGGACTTAACAGTAATTTCCTTACATTTTATCCCAATTTATTAAGGAGAGGAAATAGAGAGGAAGTGCAAATGTCCGTAAGAAGATAGAGTTTACAGTCATATAAGAGCCTCAAAATTCAAAACAAAACACCTCATTTTCTGCTTTTATAATCATGACTCCTGAGGCTCGTAGTCTTGCCCTCATAATAGAAGTTTCTGGATCTGCTCCTGTTTATGCCTATACAGATAATCATTGACTGCTGTTACATAGGGGTGCACTCAGTCCGGATACGGCTCGGATATGATCCATACCATATCCATATATGTTTACACATCTCGAATACGGATACAGATACATATATACCTCGGTAAGAAAAATTCATAACCATATCCGCTAAAATCGGATACGGTTACGGATATACATGCGGATATATGAGCGGATATACATGCGGATATATGAGCGGATATACATACGGATACAAAACGGATATGAGAAAACTAGATAGTATAGAGAAAAACACAGTTCATGTGATACAAAAGAGTTCGTTAATATGTTCATTATAATTGAAAAGTTAAGATTAGACATCTTGATCATCAAAATTATTCACAAATCCATAATCTAAGAATTAAAACTATCATAAGAGTATGGCTAATATGTATTCAGATATTTCGGATACGGATACGGATATTTCACTACAAAATCATATCAGTTACCATATCCTATCGGTTATAGATTTGAGTAATCATATCTGTATCCTAACGGATACGGTTATGGATATTTTTCCAGATAAGGATACCGTTTAGCATCCCTATATCTTTCTCACTCTACCAAATATTGCCGCGTATCAAGTTGAGTTGACCAACCTGAAGAAATCGACGTGGCCTCAATCAGTCTTAACAGAAGAAGAGTCCAGTGCGTTAGTGATCATTTAGTGAGATTTCCCCCCTCTCTTCAGCTAACTGCAGTTTCCAGATAAAAAAATATATGGGCAATGATCCCTCATGGAATTTGGTGAGGGGGCCTACTGCGGTTGCAGACATTGATGGGCCTGAAGCACACTTGGGCTCTGGTTCAGATGCTTATGGTGCGAGGACCCCCCCACAGCTTAACTTGATGTTACCCACATGCACACCATTTACTTGCTGGTCCTCAAATTCAATTTGGAGCCTGACCGTAATTTTTGTCAATTATACACTGACCCAATCTTGGCTTTCTTTATATTATTTTTTATTTATTTTTCTCATTAATTAGGTTCTCAATGAGTGGATGATACTCATGTCGCATGCCTGCCTGCATGCTTCTCCAGAGCCAAACAGACATAGTTTTGATTTATTTTCAGTGGTTGAGTATGGCAAATTTTGTTTTGATTTAGCTCAGAGTTCACTCGATTCGTAATCTGTTTTGACTTAATATTAGACATTATTTATTACTATTTTGATTTACGAGTATCTCTTAGCTAGATTGCCGTAGGAAGTCTAAGGTATTGTTGTGACTAGTGTGAAGATAGGAAACGCATCTTTTCTACCGTTGTATTGAAAATGCAGTGACTTTTTGATGAATTTATACACAAACATCAAATTTTATTGGTAATAAAACTAAGAGTGAATATCAGAAAAAACTCTCCTTAATTTTCAAAATATTAGAAAAACCCACCCTTAAGTATAAGGACATCACAAAAACCCCTTTAACTTTTAAGTTTTATCAGAAAACCTCATTCACTTTGAGATTTTATTAGAAAACCAACTTAAGTTTTTTTGGGGGGTTAGGTAGGGACTATAATAAATCTCAAAGTTAAGATGTGTTTTCT